CGGCTAACAAGCCAGAAATGGCCATTCCGGTCTCCCTTTGCCTTGTCGGATCCATTTCATCCCAATTGCTTCCGTTTAAAAGGAATACAAGATTAGACACGGAATTATGCTGGCAGTAGATGTGGATCGAGGAGTTGACGCAAGTCATAACGGACTCATAACCGTGAGACACAGCTAGACCATTGCCAAAGCCGAAATAGAGACAGTCATAAAAAGCCTTTTCTTCATAGCAAAATAAGTCCATTTCGATATCACTCGCGCCTCAACGAAATATTTCTGGCAGCAATCGATTGCGACTGGAGAAACAAGTACTCAGCCGCCCAGTAATGTGGCCCTAACCCGTGAACTACTCTTCATACTACTGACAATAGACAATGGTACAAAGCGCGTGTTTGGCGTATGTGGGAAACAGTTGATATCCGCAGAGATCGACTGACCAGACGCCCCTTGACAGCTGGTGTGGCTCCACGGACTGACTTCGCCGAGCCCGCTGTCTAAGACAGCAACTTCGATCCAAATCAGTCACAGGTTGTCACCCCTCTCCCGCTCCACTGGACGCAGAAAGGTATCGGGCAACATTAACGGTCTAGAGCTAGCTTGGACTATAATGAGGGAGCCTTGCGGAGAATTCAAATCATTTTCATTTCCCGCAGCCACCATGACAAGGTAATATTAAGACGGCCGGGTGGTAGCTGACCTCATATAAAGTCCTGATTATTTTTGCCACATAGATGCTATGTTTTGCACACAAGCAAATCCGAAACCAATACCTAGAATTCCGTATAGGGAGATGATAAGGCGAGTGAGGATTATATAGTTGAAATCTGGATTCTACACCAGCAACAACCAAACTTACTTTTAAAGTTATCACTACATACTAGCAGTCACAGTTTTGGGTGTTGCCGACTGAGGTCATATTCCCATCTTCACCTTAAACAGCAGTCTGACAATAGTAGCTTTTTAACGTAACCCTTATCTGCCAAGACCGACACCCCATATAATCCCGAATTGTTTGAAGTTAAGAGTTAGAGCGATTGTGGCTGCGTAGACCTTTCTCGGGCTTTGTACCAACATCTGTGTGTTGCGTGAAGGCAAATAAGAACATTCTGCTGGTTTATCCCATGCTACCAAACTACTAGAAGACTCATTGACAGCGCTTAGTCGGAATTGGCGAGGACAATGTCATATGTTCGATTAAATCGCCAAACATCCGGAGAGGTAAACGCGGCCTCTGAGGCAGAAACCAGTGATAGATAAACTTAAATCAAACCACGAAGAACCTTCCACCGCTGCCCCGCAATATATCTCAGACTAAGCCGGGGCAACTGCTTGCTGCAATCTTAACAACATCGACATTTCCCTACAGCGGCATCGGCTTGTCAGACATAATTACTGCCGGAAGAGAAGAGATTAATGAAAGGATAAGTTCCATTAATTAATTGGAATTAGCAACAACTGGTGAAGTAACTGCATTTTAGCGGTTTGTTCTCTGATGTCACAGAGCAGTAACGTTCACCGATCT